GGCTAGGAGCCAGCTAAGATGCAAGAACTAGGCTGCATCCACAGGGACAGGCAGGAAGTGGCACCTGGAGGGGCGCCTGCATCGAGCGTGGCCTGTTCCCCACCGGCCAGTGAGTGTGGGGGCAGCTGGAGCACAGACAAACAAAAGGACACATTGCTTCACTCAGCGCACAGACAACCTGTGGAACTCCTCGCCAGAGGACGTGGGGAAGGCTAGAACTTTTGTTCCCCACCAGCCAGTGAGTGTGGGGGCAGCTGGAGCACAGACAAACAAAAGGACACATTGCTTCACTCAGCGCACAGACAACCTGTGGAACTCCTCGCCAGAGGACGTGGGGAAGGCTAGAACTTTAACAGGGCTCAAAAAAGAGCTAGCTCGATTCACGGAGGTGAAGCCCAGCAATGGCTATTAGCCAGGAGGGGTAGGAATGGTGTCCCCAGCCTCTGTGTGTCTGGAGGTGGGTGACGGGAGGGATCACGTGGGGACTCCCTGTCGTGTTCCCTCCCTCTGGGGCAGCTGGCATCGGCCGCTGCATGGGCCTTTGGTCTGACCCAGTCTGGCCGTTCTTATGCAGCCCGGCGCTGGCTTCACCCCCACACGCACCAGGGCAGGAGCTCAGCAGATTGCAAAGCGCCTCGCCAAGAGCTGTCCCCAGGCCCCAGTGGGGGGGTCCCCCCCCCACGGCCAGCAGCTGGGGACTCCAGGCCCCAGGGAGGTACCCAGCACAGACGTGGCAGGAGAGGTCACTGGGGTCAGGCAAAAGCAGGAACCTCCCTTCCTCACCGCTCAGCCCCGCTCTGGAGGCCTGGGCACGGTTTGCAGGACAGAGACCACTGGCCATTTCCTCGGCTGCAGCCCAGGACCCCAGGGCACCTGCTGAGCCAGGGAGAAGCCCCCTGGAAGGGCCCTTTCCAAAGCCCAAGATGTGCACAGGAGCCAGAGCAGCTCAGCTGGTGAAGGCGCCCACCCCCCATAATGCCCCCAGCAGGGTGCTGCCCTCCCTGCGCCCCACAGCCACCCTGAACTGCGACACTCCGCCCCCGCCCCCACCAGCTGAGCCGCTTACCGAGCTG